ACACACACACACACACACACACACACACACACACACACACACACACAGCTGTAGCGTGAGCAATTGGAAGCCAGCATCTGTTGTGTGTGATGAGAATGGATAGGGAGCTCACAGTGATGATAATGATAGTAGGGCAACTCGATGGCTTAGAAAGTAAAACCATCCACGTTGTTTTGTCCAATGTCACTCAGGTCACCGCCTCCCTCCGTCTGCCTGCCTGTCGTCATTTAACCTATCAGCTGCGAACGGCACACTAAAGCAGAAGAAGCAACCCTGGATTTTGTTAATCGCACGGCTGAAATGTAAACTGTGGGGAAACGATGCCTTCTCTGGCATTTTGATTGGCTTTATTCGATTATGTTCATATGATATTAAATACTGTCCACTAATATTAGTGCAGGGTGGTTATAGAGTGCACCAGATTGAATAGGTTATGGAGTATTAAAAAAATATGGCTGGATTTCATTGTACGTCGTCACCCACACACACACGAGCTACACACACACACACATACACACATACACGCATCGTAGAGCGAGTGGGTTGTAAGGAGGCCCAGGTGTTGGCATAGCTAATGAAGCATGGCGCCACCTGGTATTCAGAATAATGACCTGTGACACACACCCATCTCTATCAAACATCTGTCTGGAACAAGGGCAGAGAGAGGGGTGGGAGAAGAGAGAGGGGGAGATCAGGTGAAGGAGGGGAAAAGACAAAAGAATGAAGATGAAGTTGGTGAGCATTAGATCACACACACACACACACACACACACACACACACACACACACACACACGTGCTTTACCTTCAGCATACTGCAGCAAAAGGAAAACGGTGTCTTCGGAGACGATGAACTTCCTTAGCTGCACCATGTGGGGCACAGAATGAGGCATGACTGTCCGCTTAGTCCGCCCACAGTCACTGCTCTTTCTCAGACCCTGCAATAAGGATGGAGAGAAAGAGGAAGTGTGCAATGCATTAAAGGACATAAGGAGAAAAGAAACATTACCTCCATATGGAGGGCATGAGTGGGAGGAGGTAGAGGAAGGTGAGTGTTTTAGCCTCTGTGAAGACTAAGGAGAAACCTCCTATTAACAAGTTTTGCCCCACGGCCACCCAAAGTCACTGGATTCATCAAGCCACACACAGCCCGTGACTTTAGAAGAGCCACACAGATCTATCAGCGCTACATGTAAAGTTCACATTGGTTGTGTGTGTGTGTAGGAATGTGTGTGTGAGCGCGCACGTGTGTATTCATCTGTGCCTGCGCTGTGCGTTGGCATCTGGCACACGTCTCACACCTGAGAGCGGAGGAGCTGACAGGGACAGGCCCATTAGAATCAATTACAAACGGTCACACACAGGGGCTTCTGGCACACTTCACACCTACAGTCAGTACGACAAGGATGCACACAGACACACATACACACACGCATTTTAAACTTACTTTCAGGATGAACGTCTCTTGTGTTCTCTTGTCCATGACCAAAAGAACCTGTGATGGAAGAGTGCCATTAATTGCCAGATATGAACAGACACACACACACACAGTCTAGGATGATGTAGTGGTTGTGCGCTCCAGAGTTTTTCAACGCCCGGGTCGGGTCACACATGAGGGTCACTGCAAGACAAATGTAGGTCCTTAAATGATACTAAAAGAAATTGGCATTAATGAGTCAGATCCTGCTGTGTCGACCAAACCAAGTCCCACATGACAATGTGTAAAAGAAATCTATAACAGCATGTAGTATCATACCATAAAAAAAGAAACAAATGCAGATACCACCAGTATTTTCTAATACCTGAATCAATTAGTTAATTATTCAAAGAAGAAAAATCATTGTATATTAAATTTCTATAAATTTTGGACTGCTGGTTGAACAAAACAAACGCTTTTTTTTCAGTATTTTAGGTAATTTCATAGATTTAACAATGTAAAAAATAAATAAATTGATATACATTTTGGTGCACATGTGTTGCTTGAAATAGATGTAACTACAGATCCATGCAATGCTCCATGGCAGACACAGTAACTGCTAGCAGAGCCATCTCTGAATCCCTCTGTCTCTTCCTAACCTTTATATCCTCCCCCCCTTCTCCCTGACATCTTCATTGCTCCTCTGCCTGCCCCCCCCCCCCCCCCCAGCATCTCAGGGGAGAGCTAAAGCATATGTGTGTGACCCGCTGTGGGTTCGTACACAGCGCACTGCGTGCGTATGTTTTGTGGGTGCGCTCTCTCTCTCTCTCTCTTCATGTGACCCTGGCTGGGACCAAACAGGTGCAGGCTAAATGGATATGAATGGAGCTGTGAGTAAACAGAGTGGCAGTGCTAGCCAGGGCGCTAATATAATTAAGACACAAACATCAGGGAAGGGGGGAGGTGGAGAGGAGGGGCAGCAGGGTGAGGAGCTCTCTCCATCTGTCCCCTCTGTCCGCATTAAAAGTGAAAGGAGGAAGGAGGAGGGGGAAAAAGAGGAGAGGAGCGCTGGCTCCTTTCTGGATAGCGCAGTTTCCACTTTTCTTTTTTTCCTTTTGCCGCGTGTCTGATTTGTTTCTGACACACTGTGGATTTTGCATGCACCTCTGTAGAGTAACACATGTTAGTATTGTATCAACATTTTCCTTGGGGTTTTGTGTGTGCGGAGGACGAGCATCATTGATTCAATGTAGTGTGCAGCTCTCCGAGCGGCTTGCCAAGTCATTTCATGGCTGAGTGGTGAAGTTGCTTCGCCGGCAGCTGGTTGAGAGGACCAGCAACCTAAACTGACCTTGTGGTAGTCATAACTGACGCTGAACATACACACACTCAGCTCTTACCGTACCATTCAGTAAATCCATTACGCTTTATTGCCTCAGATTTAAAAAAAAAAAAAAAGATGTTTAAAAAAAGGACATTGGGCAGGAAATCATTGTCTGCCGGACCCAAGTGTAATTATTTAGTTAGGACCTCCGTTATAGTTGTCAACGTAACAATGTTCCTCTTCCATATGTGTTATTATATTCAAGGTGAAAATTCTGACATCAAATCAAACAATGTGAAGTGTCTCTTAGTATAACAAATAGCCAAATTATTGCTTGTTTTTATAAATGAAACAACTTTTAAGTGAACTCACAAAATGCGGCTGCAAGTTGCTAAAGTGAACTGACCTTATCTATGACTCCCAGCACCCTGTATGCTCTCAGCTCCTCAGAAGGACTCTGCTGGCTTCCTCTGCTGGTGGACGGGCAACAATGTGCCCCCAAAGCCTTGGGAACAAAGCAAAAAGATTTCATAACGGTGTGCAATGTTAAAGTTAACACATGGTGACATTCATTAGGTATTCTGCCTTTTTGCAACACGTGACCCAAGTAATGTGTGGAAAACAACTGTGTCTGATCATCAGATAAAAGGTAGTGCACAGTGGCTCCACTACTAATTCTGACTGTATAAAAAGATCGGTTTAACATAAACTGTACAGTCGGGTTTATGTGCCGTCTCAAGTGGTTTAAGGACCCTGGTGGATGCACGCATATAAGGCACATTTGCATAATCTAACACTGACAGCACACAGGCCAGTGGCATTCCCCTCCCACTCACCACTGTCTGCGTTGACCCTTGACCCATGTTGCTTCTCAGATGCTGACTGGATATCTGTTCTGCACGCATCAGATACTCTGCGGTCTTCTTCTTCACTGCCTCTCGCCGCGTGGGACTGGGCTCACCTGAAAAGGGTCATGCATTTCTCTTTACCAAGCAGTTTCTACACCGCGGCGGGGTTCAAAGTTTCTGTACAAGCATTTTATTTACTGACAAAACAGCATGTTATTATGACAAGGTAATAAACCACTAGGGTAAAAGTGATGCCTTCTTTGAGGGGATGTCAGGGTCAACTAAAGAGCAGCAACCCTGCTGCTGGAATCTCCGCTATCATAAACACAAGGACACCCATCCGAGTAGATAGACATTCATGATCACCACTTGTAGAAAGTAATGAGCTTCGATCGAGATCCGCTGTTCAAGAGGACCGTTTTCAAAACTTGGATCATGACCTACAGTATCTGTGGGCCAGGAAAGATTTTATTAATGTTTTTACTAGTCGTTAAATTGAGTACTACATAGTCTGTGTATATTGTCCTGTGTGACTCTGGAGGGAGCTTCATCACGTGTGGATCTGGACTTAGTCTTGGAGACAACAGTTTTTTAACAGAAAGCCAGCATTGCAATTTTGCGGAATAAAGTGTAAAAGATGTGGGTGTTCACCAGGCAGGGAGGGTCACACGTAAAGATGCTACTGTGTCAAATGATGGGACATGTACGATACACAAATTTAATTGCTGATTTTAAAAATGTTTTCTTCAAGGCCCTGGTCTCTAGTGAAAGACGTTGTGTCACTGCTGCACATGTAGGCACCAAGCGCTCTCCCAAACTAACCTTGCACTCCTTGCAGCAGCAGGTCCACTCCGCTGCGATAGCAGGAGAAAGCTGCCTGAAAGTCCTGCTCTTTCTCCTTCTGCACAGCCAAACAGATGAGCTCACTGGCTCTGTCTAGGTAGTCGGACTTCACGTCCTTTGGGTGGCCACCACCGGCTTTCCTCAGACGGCCGGAGAAGAGCGGCGTTCGGCCTGGCCGGCTGACCTCTGGGTTAGGGGCTGAGGAGGCAGGGACCGGGGCAGGAGATGGGGTGCGGCGATCGTACAGGGAGGGCAAGCGGGGGCTGCAGCTGCTGCTAATGTGGGTGGCACCCCCCTGTGGCTGGTTTGGGGAGGTGCGGCCTGAGGCCATGCCATCATCCAGCCCAGTCAAAGAGTCGGTATCCACACCCAGGGAGGTCAGGTCGCTGTCACTGGACGGGCCTGGGGAGGAGAGCAATGCTCGGGTCAAAACAGACACATACACACACATACACACTCCTTAATGAGTCTATTTATGAGCTCTCATGGATGTGTGTGTGTTATTTTGATACATAAACAAACAAACTTTACCACCATACTCAGATGTGATCGTCAAATCATCCGCACCACTGATGTCTCTCTGAACTGGAACAAAAAACATGTCCACAAATCTCTGAGCCAGAGTGAATTCATTGTAAAAACAAGTCATTGTAAATTAAGAGGAAGATGGATTTGAGGAAGTGTGGTTGTGTTTCACCCTACCGTCAGAGCTGCAGTCTGATAAACTGTCTGCCAAGAAGTCTGAAAAGGGCTCAGCTGGTCCAATGAGCTCGGAGCCGTCGTGGACCTCGCCTCCCTTGAAGAGAATCGAAAAAAATTGCAGTTCAAAGTAGTCTGGGAGGAAGTTTGTGTTTCTGTGTGTGATTTTTTTGGTACCTTAAAGAAATCGTGGATGTGCTGGCTGCTATAGAGAGCGGGGATGTTAGCAGAGAACTGCAGCAGATCCTCGGAGCACTGTCTTCTTTCCTCAACTACCGAGTCATCAAAACGACCTGCGCTTGCAAAAAAAAGACAACGCACGCACTGTTGAAGAAAATCATTCAAGTCCGGTTCAAGAAGTTGCTGTGGTGGTGGGAGGTTAATGAAGCGTGCCGGCTCACTGGTGAACTTAGACACAGTGACCCAGAGCAAAAGAAAAAGGAAGCATTTCATACAGTAAGCCGAGGCAGTGATTAGGCTGTATGCAAATAGTAGAGAAGAAAAAGGGAAGGGAAGACCAGGATCAGACGTAATTTAATTAGTGGTAACAAAATGCAGGAAGAGGGCATTTGCATTCAGAGCTGCAGGACGGACACACAGTTGGCATTTGATCAAGTCGAGGGGTCAACACAGTAGGGGGCCCGAGGAAGCACCCGTTAGTAAGTCTGCACTGGCCACAATGTATTCTTCATCAACACACACACACACACATTAGAGGGATATTGCCTTTAAGCAAGTGATTATGTCAAGTAAGTGTAATTAAGAGTGCTTAATGACACTGAGCTGCCTCAAGGAGGCAGAGTCCTCACTGCTCCTTCAGTGATCCAAAGATCCAGGATTTAGTCTCTCTACAGCAGTCAGTCACACAGTTCTGTCACTAACGCAAACAACCACGGTATCAAAAAGGTAGCAGAGGACCAAAAACAGGAGAAGAAGACTCCTCAAAGATGAGCATTTGGTCTCTCTGCATTCATCTGGACAAATGTGTGACACAGGGGAATCGCTTCTTACCAAAGACTTTGGCCTTGGCAAACGGGGGAAACAGCTCCGACTGGCTACAAACATTCTTATGCAACTGCCAGAGGTTCTGATGAAGCTTCCGGAAATCACTGTACCTCTTCCATACCGTTATCTACAGAAAGAACAAGAGGAGAGATGGATGAAGATAGGGAGGAGGAGGAGGAGGAGGAATCAATCATCTTCTGTTTAATAATACATGAAGCTTCACCAAATTAATTAAACCAATTGTGGTGCTTGAAGAGGTAACCAGATTTTGTAATTGTCTGTAAAGTAATCTCATTAGCATTGTATTTAAAATGTCTGTTTAATATATTCATTGTGAACAGCACCTCTCCATAGCCTGAAACTAAAAACGAATCAAAACTCAGCCATTGTTCCTCTGCTAAGTTAAGTCAAATCTTATGCAGTAAAACGTCCAACACAAGTCACAACATTCAGACACAAACGTGCATAAAGTAGTTCCTTACTCTGCGGCATAAAGCAAAACATAATGGCCTAATGTTGAGCTGCGAGTCCGGTTTGCTAAAATCCTGGCCAGCCTGCTGGTGTGAAGAAAACAGGGCTGAGCAGAGCACCACTCCCAGAGAGGAGCACTGCCCAAATAATGGAGGTATGTGTTCTCCTAGACACGCATGCAGTAATTGACATCATGCCCGCTGCATTAGCACTGGTTCCAGGCTAGACTGCATTCTTCAGTGTGTGACAAACGCTAGAGAGCATGCATGTGAGTTTTTACAGCATGTTTTTAGATACATTGTGAAAAAAGGAAATAGCTGAATGTTATGTAAGACCTTTTAAAAGACAGATAACAGTTATCTTGGGCGATATTTAATACTTGGACAACTGTGTCAGTGTTCTGACATGAAGTAAGCTTGAAGTGAAAAAAGAGAAATAAAGAAAAATTCTCCTGAAGTATACTCTGCTTTATTATATGACTGAAATTTCTGGGCAGAAACATTAAGCTTTGCTTTACCAGATCTCTCGTTTCAGGATGTGGAATAAGAAACATAAAGCCACACACAGCTCACAGTCTGACGTAACAGATAGCTCACACTACACAGAAGCCGGGCTTATCCTCCAACCCTGCAGGGGAAATTCCCTTGGAGAGATTCCATTAAACTCCTGTCTTTCAAGAAAGTCAACTGTCTGCCAATGCTTTGCACACTCACTAAGTCACAATATGGAAATAATGGCTACATGTCTTACCTCTTGGACATCCTCTGGGTTCTTCCTGGAGATTATCTATGTGGAGAATGGGGGAAGAGAACTTTAGAGGGTTTAGAACCTCTGTGTGAAGAATAAGATGCCCGGCGCTGGTTCAAGACTTTATTGAGAGGCTGGCACGAGTATGAGCAGAGACACAGCTCTGAGTGTGACAATGAGTGCTTTATATGCCGAGTGAGTGTAGGAACGTGACATCACCAACAATCATAACAAAGAAACTCAGCCGGGCCTGTTTCTAAGTTATTGAACTGGGAGTGTGACCATGAATCTGTAACACTGCACAAACTGGTGACTGGAGGTTTGGCATAAGTGTGGCTGAATATTGAGATATGTCTGTTCATTTCACCATCAGATGACTTACTATACCAGCACTTGATCTGTGAGTTTGCTGTATATTATCAATGGGGACAGGCCTGATTGTCTCAAACTGAAACCATTTTTTTTGATCTAGGGTTTCTCCAACCTTGAAATAGCGTTATAGTATAGCAACACCTTACTCATGGAGTTTCATGTTAATCAATTATTGTTTAAGGTTATGAAGCTTTGGCATTTCTCCATCTAGATCAGGCTTGTAATCAGGAATCCCCCACAACGTTAGTTATTCTTTCAAGGCATTTATCCAGGAAACTTTCCTAAAAATATAATGGCAACATGAACCTGCTAGTTATTGTTTGACATGATCTCCTGAATGTTTATCTGTCGTAATGCTATATATAGGACTAACTGAGCTAGCTAGTTAGCTACCTAGCGGGTAAAACCAGGTCAACACAGCGTTTAGGTTAGGTTCAGTCTTGCTAATGTAAATTAGCAACTAGATAATCCACTGGAGGGTTGAATAGAAACACATATTAAAATACAAACAAGCCTGAATGCTACTGTAAGCTAACGATCACACGTAAACAATAGCAGTTACACTTACCAGCTAACCTTGAGCGGTTGAAGTAACGTTACTTGTGTTTGCATCATATTAGCTTGGTTAGCATAGCTAGCTAACAACACCTAGCATCAGCCCTGAGTGCCCATCCTCCCTTTACTTACCCTCGCGGTGACGTTGTACACAGTATAGCCTTTCAGGTGCTTTTTGGGATCTGTGACAGTATAAAAACGAGCCAGTTCTCCTCTGTCCCGCTGCGATATCATTCTGATAGTGACAACATTGCCAAAGCTACCACTCAGCTAGCCTTACACATTCATTCCTTGACAGCACAGTGCCAGGCAAAGCAAATAAGTTAGAGCTCCCCCCTGTGGAACGTATGTGTAACTACATGCCTTAATGTCACATCCACTTTTTACAGACTTTTTTTAGATTGTCCTAACACCACTTTCATATATTATTTGTGGTGTATATACTTTATTAGGTGAGAACTTAGCAAATGATTGGCTCTATATTTGTATACATATAAATATCAGCAATTAGGCTGAGAGTGCATGAAATGAACACAATACATGTACACACATAAGAGATGATTAATAATCAATACCAAGGAGAAAAAGATATGCAATGAACAGAGCTAACAAAAACATAGAAAGTGGTATACACCCTGTCTTGTAAAGTTGAATGAACCCAGTGGCCTACAATAGAGATTTTTTTAACAGTGCCTTCCTTCATCAAGATTGCAATAGTTTGGATCTGTTACTCATACAACCATGTTACATTACTGCAATCCAGAGTAGCAGAAGTATTATTCCTGCTAAGTTCATAATCCTGGAAGCGCCGAGTCCGCTTGCCGCACTGGTTTTGTGACAAGTGACAGTCGGTGTCTTCATCATCTTCCTCACCGTGCCTTTTTGGTTAAATGAGGAGTTGTTCTGTGAAATAGAAAAGATGACAAAGAAATACCTCTTTTTATGATACTTGGCAGAGGACTCCACATTATTTTATAAACAAAAATTCCTCAACAAAATGTATTTATTAGATTGAAGGTATAATAGAAAATAGACGATCAAACCATTGAGACGATTCACTTACTTCGTCATCAGAGGCAAACAGAATTTGTGGAAGGTCCTTCAGAAAACTCTCCTGCGCTGCAATTGGATCCTGGTCTGAAGTTGGGGCGTCCTCAGACATGCTGTCAGAAATCAGTAGAAGAGCGTATCAAGATACAGCTGCTTGAAAAAAACATGTATGTAATGTATATATCATATGTATAAGACCTGCATCAGGCCTTACTGTTAGCTTATGTTAGTTGATAGATACCTTGTATTTGGGTTGCTAACACAGTTGGTGATCTTGATTGCAGGGTAGTAGAGTAGGAAGGCCAGGCACATCTCATCAGTAGTTGCTAACCCCATCTTAAAGAGGACAATGTAATACATGGCAGGCATTAAAGACATGAGATTCTCTTTATACATGTTCATAAAGGTAAGATGCCATGGGAACACCATGAAAAAGCCAGGCAGTGGCGTCACCAAGAGGGGTCCAGGAAGGGCCAACCTGATATTCTCTGGTCCAACACTGACCCCCCTGTGGTTCGTTTAAACTTGATTAAGCTTGTTCACAGTAAATATTCAGTTTCTAACAATCAGTGTACACCTTCAAAAGATGGCTATAGATTTGGGAAAAGGACATATAGCCTATTTGAATGAATAGTGTAACACATATACAGATACATAGCAAATTAAAACAGGGTTGTTGTGAAACTCAAACTGTAACCGTAGCACATCAGATCATTAGTATCATTACTGAAAAATAAGAATCCAAAGTATTCCATTTGTACCGGAAGGACCATTCAATTTTCTGTTCATGTCACGGTGCACCAACACAACACAACCACCAACACATATTTCAACAATTTTTCTGATACATGAAATATTAAACTGTTCTTCATGTTACATGTGTTTATTTTTTTGTATTTCTTGGACCACCCTGATTTCATTTAAAGCACATTGTGTGCGTAATGACATGAGGTTAACTGTATTTACCCACCCTGGTGACGTTGGTGCGATCGGTAGTATTGTAGGTGCACTCCACCGCAATCTCATCACCCTGTAATGGGAGACAAGACATGCGGCATGATACTTTACAGAGCACTGTTTAAATTATATAATTCTTAACAGCACAAACAACCAAGAACTTACTAAAAAACTGCCTTGTAAAATATGGGCATACTATTTGGGCATGGAGGCAATGGAAACCTACCAGCTTGATGGTCTTGATCTTTCCCAAACTGACGCTCTGCTGTAGCCCAAAGTTGTAATTTTCATTGACGAGCAAGAAGTCTATCTGAGTTCCATTTCTCCAGTGAAGATGTATGAAATAACAGTTTTACAAGACAACAAAGCTACAATGCAAATTCTGCATCAAAACTGGATATTACTCAAAACAAAACAACCTTAAGTTCATTATTTAATCTTCTCTTTTAGTTTTTGGTTGTCCATCAAAATCCGATGATAACGTCCACTCCTTTAACAGCGAGATCTTTGGTTTTATAGTTACCAACAATTTGTTGCTGTGTTTTTACAAAGCCAGTCCAATTTAATGAATCTCTTTTTTCATTCTTAAACCTCCATATGGACTGACAAAAAGCAAATCTCTTCTTTCTTACCTGTAATGGCCCACTCTGACTTTCCTCCCAGCCAAGTGAGTGTGCAGCATCCCAGCAAACACGTGCAGGTCAGGCACAGGATTCATAAGCTAGGGGTGGAAAGTAAACACTATCAGGAACACAGTCATTACAAAAAAAACGACATATTAACTTATCTCATTTTGAAATCTATACTGAAACAATACAGACCTGGGAAAAGAGACTTGTATTACACATGCCGTAGGTGTGGAATTGAGTGGCTTTTGGAGGGATGTTGTAGCTCAGAGAGGTATGTGGGTTCACACCTGTGGTCAGGATGCCGCCATCATACTTCCTGCGTTGGACTGTGTAGTGAAGCCTCAGTCCTGAGCTGTCTCTCCTACCTAAACAGAAAGAGACAGTAGTTTAAAAATGGTTGCATGTTAGTCATGTCAAAGAAAATAAGTAATAAGTATAGTAAAAAATAATACTGTGTTATGACAGCATATTACATGCGACTTATACCTGACATGACTGTGTACTGTGTATTATTGCCCAGACAGCAGCCAAGGCAGATGTTTTCCATGTTGTATTAATTGTATTTTAAAGGGAAATACCACCAATTTTACAAATAAAGGCCAATTTACTGCCCATGGGAAGTCCTGCTCAAATAGATAGATATTTGGATGTGTAGATAGATATATCTATCTATCTGAGCTATGACAAGTCTGAGACGGATACATAGATACATAGATACAGTATTTACCTGCTTCATTGTTTGGATTGTTGTAGTGGATTTCCAGCCTATACAATGTATCACTGTCCGCACCTCCAACAGGAATACCCACATTTTCTGGAAGCTCAAATACCTGAAGTTTCAGGAATAAATTGGATATGGATATACACACAAGAATACAGACAACAACATGAATTTAAGCATTGAGAGATAGATTCTCCTTCACCCCTCCTCCCACTGCCCATGCAGCCACCGCCTCGAAGCAGACGTCCCCCATGTCGCCCATGAAGCACGGCTTGTCGTACGTCTCCGTCACAAAGGAGGGGCAGCGGTACAGCAGCATGTGATGCACAATGTCAGGGTTCTCAATCACTGGTTCAATCTGAGGTAAAGTAAGAAGAGATTTGAGTTAAAAAAATGGTGAATGAAGGTAGAAATAAAACTGAAAATCGGGATTCATTTTATGTTGACTTTTCATGTGTGGGACTTTTTATTCTTCTACAGCTAGGACACTTACTTATACAGTGTCAGTTAAGTATTTTCATCTTTACTACTACTACAGTCAGACTTGTTTTGCATCTGAAAGCTCAGTCCACTCGAAAGATGAGTAGTATAGCGTGTTAATCCAACACCACATCAACAGAACAACATTAAATTGTTGATTTTGATTGAAGGTGAGGAAAAATACGAATGATTACCTGATATATATAATATGTTGTATTTGGATCCAAGTTTTGAAACTTCATGACCTTGCAGTGGTAGTAGGTGTGATTTTCAGGCACAGTGACCTGCAAAAGATAAAGTTAAACTTAAAGTTAAAATCTACAAATGTTCCCATAATTTCCAAACATGCCTTGTGTATCATTCTCATAAGTGTTTTCAATTATTCCTACATTATCCATTGTGACGTTGAGATAGGTGAGGTTGGTTGAGCTTGGCCTGGCCACATAGTTCAGCAGGTTGACTTCCTTGGCGCCTCTACGGTGCCCATGATAACCGAGCGTATCCGTTGTTCCGAAGGCATAGATAATTTTAATGGGTGTATCCTGGAAAAGAGGTGGAGATTTTAGTCAACGAATATGATACAGTACAAAAGCGGCAACATGAGAGAGCTTTCATTGAGGGGAAAGGGATGTGGCATGTTCTCAAAACTGAAAGATCAAGTCTCTATTTACCTTAAGAACCAACTAATTTTTTTTAAATCAAGTGATAAACAGAGTCAGTTTAATGCTCTGACTTTGCATTCTGCTCCCACAATGTTCAACTCATATAACAAGGTGTTATGACTAATGATGTATAGTGTTTCATGTGTTAAATGCAAAACAAAATCTTGCTTTTTCTTTTGTTGCCATTGTCTTCACATTGGAAAAACACCCAACCCAATGTACTGTATTGAAGAACATTCAGGTGAACCTGACAATAGAAATCCTCTAACACAGTTGACGTGGATAAAAGCAGGAAACTTGATCTTTACACAGAAGATTTAGATCAGCTGTACAAAAGAGTTTAGAATTACAAATAATGAGCCACAACAGTGGAGAAGAAGTCTAACCCTTGTGATTCAGGTTGGTGGTATTGATCCCATGGACATTTTTTCCATGGGATCAATAGTTCATTAATAATTTTTCTATTCTGTGTAAAGTTTTAACCAGTCTGAAATCAACAAGATTAACATTATACGTCGAGGACATTTGCAATCTCAACACATATTCAGTGTGATTTAGCAATGAAACTTGACCGGAATAAGTAAAACACCCTCAGAACCAAATAATGGATAAAACACTAAATTCTCAAGCAATTTTTTGTGTGTCAATGGGGACTGAAATTGATACGCATGCCACATTTCTCAAGCTCTACACCTATTTTCACACATGCAGAACGTAGACTTTAAAAAACTGGGAGACAAAATATCCGGAAGTCTTACAGTGATTGGGGAATCTTCGTGATCACACGTCTGAATGGACCTCTGAAAGGTCATGATGGTTTGACCGTCCCTCTCAGTCAGAGACAGGAGAGTGTAGCTCTGCTGCTCGTCCAGCACAGGCATGGAATCCCCTACTGCATGGTAATCCTAATGGACGAAAAGACACAACCCTCAGACAACAGCAATGTGTTCAGTTTGCTATTGAGCATGGAAAAAAAACAAAAATACATTTTGCCTGTAATATTTAATATCCAATTATGGAGGAAACATAAAACAAACTGCTACACATGCAGTTGTTATCATCTGGGGCTGACTTACTCTGAAGTAGCTTCCACTGGGTCCAACTCCCCCCATGACGATGTCGGACCCGGTCATCTCTCCGTCCGAACTGAAGCCAAGGCCCACCCAGCCTGTTGTGTTGACCACCAGCTTGAATGTTATGATTCCTTGCGGGTTATCGAAGCCCCACTTCAGGCACACCAAATGATCCTGGTCCAGGTACTCCATGAAGGGCAAGTCGGGGTCCGACGCCCCGGCTCCCTTTGTCCAGACCGAGAACAGGCAGAGGAAAGGAAGCAGAGAGCGCATGATGTCTCTGGGAAGTTGGAGATCTTCAAACTGAGCTCAGTGTCTGTGGAGCTGCCAGACACCCTCCCACCCTCCTCTGACACACCTGCGTTGCTCTGGGTGATAACAGCAAAAAATGCTCAGTCATCTGTCCTTGTAGCACAAGAACCCCCCCCCCACTGCATACCACTTTGGCTGCTGCCTCAATTGCATTCTTATATTTTGTGCTATATTTCACTTTCAATTAAGGATTTCTTTCATGGCTCATTCTCTGTGTGAAATCTGCTTCTTCACCGCCTTTGATGTGAAAATCTTCGGCCTCGAAGTCCAGTCTTTTCATATAATTACACACTCATACCCTCTTTCTGTTTCTCTTAACGAGCTGCAGACTTCACCGACTTACTGTATCCACCCCCTCAGGTCCCCTTACATCAACTCACTCCACCGGTTCTTTCACATTGACGGATAAATGAGACCACTCAGGTGTCTGATATATGAGGAGGCGACGAGGAAGGAGCAGGAATGAAAGTTGAACTTTTCATTTCGGCCAAAAGTCGAGGTTGTCAATATATTGACTTGTTGTAAGGTTTACCTCTCTCTCTCTCTGTTACCTTCTCATATATCCAACACTTGATTCCAGCCCAAACTATTTAATCTTATAGGAATGTGAATAGTGGGATCATGCTTTCAGATCATTGGCACTGGAAGTCACTGTTGAATTTCTGTATGCCTTTGGTGACGCTGCACTTGTATACTGTAAATCTTAATTTTTGTTATTGACATTACACACTTCATTTATCTCCGGCACTTCAGCTTCAACAGATATGTCAACTGCTTTCAGCATCCACACTTCAGCTGACACCGACAGCAAGAAACAACTCTGCTGACACTTCTTTCCAACTGGCACTAAAATATCTACAGGGCACTTCAACTATCTCTGGTGCTTCAACGTAAAATTTTCAATTGCTGTCATCTTTTGCACCTCAACTACTTTCAGTGATTACATACATACTGAAATTTCAACTGCCAACGGGGCTGAAATTTGAAATGATGAAATACTGACATGTGACCAATCATTACACCGGTGCTGTGTAAGTAAGTAAGCAAGTTTTATTTATAAAGCGCTTTTCACAGACGTTAGTCACAAAGTGCTGAACAGGAGCAGAATTACAAACATAAAAAACACTATGTGACCATTGTGGACATTTAAGAATGCACAAAAAACAGAAAGTATAAAATTAAAACATGGTTTAAAAGCAGGCCTAGGACATGAGTTTTTACCCAAACGGCAGTCTAAACAGGTGTGTCTTGAGCTGATTTTTGAATGAGTTCACAGAAACAGCAAAACGTAGATGTGCAAGCAGAGCATTCCACAACCTTGGTGCTACTGCCTCAAAAGCTCGATCACCACGGGTCTTAAGGCGAGTGGACAGACAGATAATTTAACACATTTGACCTGAGAGCGCGGGCGGGTGAATAAGAGTTCAGCCACATATGTAGGAGTCTGACCGTGTAGTGCTCTGTAAGTGAGAGTGAGAGTTTTAAAGTGGATGCTATAGGGAGCCAGTGGAGAGATCTGAGTATGGGGGTGATGTGAGACCGTCTATTTGTCCTAGTGAGTAATCTGGTGTCAGCATTTTGGATTACCTGCAAACGGTTCAGAGCAGCTACACTGAGTGAGGAGAAAAGTGTGTTACAAAGTCAAAGAGATAAAGGCGTGTATAATCATCTCTAGTTCAGCTGTTGATACTACGGATCTCAGTTTACTGATATTTCTTAGGTGGAAGAAACATGATCTGGTGGGCTAAGAATGAGGTGTTGCATGTTAGAAGAAAAGATGACACAAAACAACCAAATCAAAGGACAATGAGGGAGCTGAGAGGGTGAGGCAGTCTGAACTGGCCAGGTTTAAAGGCTTGCTCTCTGACAGTGCGTCAACTCCCTCTATAACTCCGATTCTACATCTCAGATGAGAACAATTCTAAGTTGTTAACAGGGTTTGCAATTTTCAGCATAAGATAGCAGGATGGAATTTGCTTAATAATCTAATCTTTTCTATGAACAAAGAGTGATTAGAAAGATGAGAACTGGACAGAATAAACATTATTTCTTATATTAATCAACTTATTGTAATTGTTGCTTTGTCTTTGGTTTTGATTTGATAATCAGAAGCTTGTACAGTAGATGTGTCACAGAGCTACCAATGATGGGCCTTGTTTGTAATGTAATAGCACATCGAGCCCAGCAGAGGCCGACTTTAGCATAAGAAATAAACCCTGAGTCACTCCCTTTCAGCCGTTGGGCCAGCTGTGAGCTGACAACATTGTGTCAGTAAACACACTACATACAGTAGCTGCCTTAAGATTACAATAATACACCGGAACATTTAACCTTCATTTAACACGGAAAGAAACTTAGGAAAGTACAATATTAACCAACAAAAAACCTAGAATATATATTTTAAAGGAAACATGTTTGATGGCTGTTATTGTGGCATATTTTACAATTTGACTGATTATATTATAATTACTAAAATCCCCTTACATGGTTTATGAATTCACATTATTCGTATTACTATAATTATCATCTTTATTTTTGTGGTTTTAACATGAGCTACTTTCAACGTACATTATGCATGTTTTATTTGTTGGCTCACTTTATTTTGGAATGAACGAGTCATGTCTTGGAGGGCCATGTCGGACAGAGACTACCTTTCCGGTTTCTCTCCGTGGAGCAGGTCACTCCCTCCGTACTGTCAGCAGCTCTGCGCGGCGCAAACTTGCAGTCACACTGAACTAACTTGACAACTCCTCTCGTCTTCTTGCAGGATTTTTGTTTTAAAGTCGGTGGTGCGGCCGCTCTTCACCGGGTGGAACTACCGTGTTGTGTTTTAGTTGTAGAGCAGCGGGGGGAAATGTCCAGCTGAGGATTGGAAATCCTGAAAATCGCAGGGCCTGTGTTTTGTAATGATTGATCAATGCTTCGATAATGGCGCAAAAGGTAAGTCTGGCAGCTTTTCTAGGCTGTTTTAACGTCAACCCGGGTGTATTGTCTCCTCCGGAGTCGCCTGACAGCTGTATTTTGTACTAATAAGGCGCGGGCTGTGGACTCTGGAAGCTCAGACAGTTGTAGTTTCTCGAGTTTAGGTTCACAGTAAACACTTCACTCGATAAACTACATATTAAAAGAGTCCGAAAACTGTTTAATAATCTGGTTTAAAAGCGCGCAATTGGCGCTTACGACACATTCGTATGCAGTAAATGAGTTTTCTTGCGATACATGGAAAATGTGCCTCATTAAGAAAGTGTCTTGTGACATTTTACTACCTTTCCAGTGCGGGTCATTTCTACCCCCGTGGAATGCTGGGAAATGTAGTCTCGAGCGTGTGTGAATGGCCCTGTTCATTCTCTACAGTATTAATATGTATGATTGGTTGATTGCTACTTTTCACCATAGATTACAATGCATTCAGTTCGTTTAAGTATTATCAATACATGTATTAGAGTTACTGTTGGTATTAATACTAAGTGAGATAACAATAAGTAAAACATCTTATTGATTGGTGGGGGACTTTAAATTGAAATAACAGCAATCCACATCATGCCATCGAGCTAGGAGGATCTAGATAATCCTGTACCCAAGTAGAATAAACAGAAACAAAGTGCTAAAATAGCTCTCTGATTAAATAGCCTTAAATTCCATCTCACTGGTTAATGAACAAGTTAGTTAGTCTGTGAAGGTGATACTGCTTCGATAACACTGACCTCAGAACTGACAATCCAAATGAATTTGGATAGTCAAATATATGAAAATAAATGAGGCCTGAGGCTCAAAATCAGCCATAAAGTCAACTGTGAGAAGCAAAGTCATATTGAGAATAGTTGTCACACTTCTCAGTGTTGTTGTGTGACATGTGTGAGTGTCTCTGGGGGTAAGGGGAAAGGGCAGATCTGTAGATGTGGGTCAGTGTGAGAAGAACTGCAGGCTCCTGTATTAACCTGAACCGGGTAACGTGACGGTACCGGCCTTGTTTTTGGTTGATACTAATACCTAATTAAGAGTCAGCATAACAGGGCAGGAGAACGAGTTTGGCCTGTTTCACTGCATGTTAATTTAAGTCCACAAGAGTTATTGTTCAGAGGGTGATATTGTGTGTACATGCAGATATATGTTCATGTGCCGTCTTCTTAAAAGTGTTTGTCAAACATGTCGTGAATTGTGTGTTTTTTTTCTTGACTGTGTTCAGGTACAAGTTTTATATGACTTCGCTGCTGAGGCTGGAAACAACGAGTTGACAGTGAAAGAAGGAGAGACGCTTACTGTCACCAATCAGGTAAATCTTGACACTGAAAGAGGAAAAATCCAAAATGTAGCTTTTCACTCAGTCTTTTTTTTAAGCAGCGGTATTTTATATTAGTTGTGTGTGTGTGTTTCAGCCATAAAATAGCGTTCTTGTGACTTTTCTGTTAGCTTCCTATCTCAAACCTACAGAACTATAAAGGCCCGGCTCACATGATCTCAGGCTGAACACAAACAAGGAGGGTCACAAACTCGTACTGAGGAAGAAAAAGAGTAAACATGATGTCATTACAGCCAGTCGACAACAGTTCAAAGGTCCCTCGCTGTGTGCTGACCTACATAGTTTCCTAATCAACGTCGGTTCTAAGTTTTTACTCTATCAGGAAAACAGTCTCTCTCTTTCTTCTTCTCTAAATAAACTGACTGTGCTGAGCTTGCGGTGTGTTTACAGATACTTGGGAAAACCTGGATATTGTCACCTACGTGAATAACGTGTTCATGGGAAACCCTGCGGTCTTAATTGCAGTGGTGAATTAAGAGAAACAGAGCGACAGGTTTGAATAAGTATTGCTGTGGCAGCAGGGATCACGGCAACATCAGAACTTGTAGCAATGTGTCCTTTACAGCTGCATGTAAATGTGTTTTTTTTTTTTTGTTTTTTTTTTAGAGTAATCTGGGAAATGCAATGCATTTGATCATATTCTCAGATTTCCTTTTAATGTGATTTTTTTTTTTTCTTTGTGTGCATGTGACGCGGACGCCAACTCTTTTCCGGACTGAGCCTGTTCATGGTAACATGTTGCGTTTTGGTCTCACTCTATTTCAGAGTGTTGGAGGCGGCTGGATTGAAGCACAGAACTCCAGAGGGGAGGTTGGACTGGTGCCAGAAGACTACATCGAGGTAAGATAGACAGCCTCCTAGTGTGGGTCGGTGAAACCTCCGACGCAGAGAATGAAGCCGCAAATCCATCTGCTATCAAGTTGTGAGGTTGCGATGCACAATATGTGCTAAATTAAAGTTCAACCATTTAAGATTTCAACCTATCAAGGCCTCTATCGGTTAGATATCTGTCGTTATAGTCGAGGATAGCTTTCTCCTTTTGACTGAACTGTGGCGCTTATCGAAATCACAACAGGATGTGCCTTCTTCAGGGTTTTGCTGATTAGGGTGTTTGTGCGCGTGTGTGTGTGTGTGTCCAGTAACTCTGACCTCATCGCGGGGATGTGATTCACTCCGAAGACATTCAGAAAGAGACACAGAGAGAGTTTGATTAGAAGTAAAGTTTCTGAAGTCTGTTACCAGCTTAGCCTCACTCTAAACAACCTCCTCTGCAATGTCTAACAATGTAGTGTGTGTGTCTGTGTGTGTCTGTGTGTGAGAGAGATTGATATTATCCTTCTGCTTTACTTGGCAATAAAACTCATGTGGATGTGTGTGTTTGTCTGACCTTAAGTTACCTCCCCAGCTGCCCCAGACTGTTTAGATTTCTTTCCAAATCATAAAAAAAACAAAAAAACCACTGATGACAGTTGCAGTTGTTGCTTATGCAACATCTAATGAAAAACATCAGGAGTCTGTTTCTCAAGCAACCGCTTTCTGTTTCAGTGCACTCTGCTGGCAATAATAAGATCTGCAAAAAGAAAAGGATGAGCTACAAGAAATAGCCAGAAGAATTAAGTGTGGTGTCGTCGTCTATTGACAAGTGGTGAAGCAGATTTGAATGTGTGCATTTAAGTATCGGCAGCCAGTGTTTTCACACTTTGATGGATACACTGAGAATGTTTCAAACGCAGTTTGCCAGGGAATGCCAAGGAGACACGATCACATTACCACAGAGGAATGCGTCTTTAAAAGTCATTAAGTCATACTGGAATCTCTGGAATACTTCTAATGGGAATTGTTTTCTGTCTTTTTATCTTTCCGTTTGTAGTTCAGTAAGCAGTTGCCATCGTTCCCCGGAGCTGCAGCCCCTACTCCAAGTGTAGGACATGTTGCAACTCCAGACCTGTCCATCTTTGATTCCTTCGCTCCCGCAGCAGCACCAGCAGCACCTGCACAATACCAGGTAATGCGCTCACCTAACGACGGTTTGGGTATATTAAATTAACACCGGGTGTCCTATCAAATGCCTGCTTTTTGGGCTAGAGTTTGGCTACCTGCCATGATCCCATTCATCCACTCTAAAGAATGTGTGAGATGGGGTGATGTTGAAGAAAAATCAGAAAGCAGAAGTGAGTGATGACAGAGTTCTACTGACGTCTGTGTAGCTTGAGCGATCCCCAGAGATGCAGAAGTGAGAGCAGCTGCCGTGGAAGCTCTTCACCGTGGTCCTGTCATTTATAACCGACACAGGTTTTTAGCTCTAGTAAGATAGAACCGAGAGGAAATATGCTCGGTGAAATCGTCTGTATTTAGCAGGCAGGAAGTTCCACAAGCATGAGCGTACTGCTGGATCAGTGGAAATTTTGGGCAGAGTTAGGAGGTGAGTCAAAGCAGGAAATGTGTCAGCCGTTATCCCTCATACTCTCTCTTTCCTCTCACACACTCTCACACACACACAAACGCATCCATATCCAGCATCACTTTAACTCATCCCATGCTGAGTGTAAACCTCCACTGCTGGCGCCTTGTGATGATGTCACCTTCTTCTCCCTCTCAAGGTGGATGCTGGGGGCTTAAGTCCCCAGCCGGACACCCCCGACACCCCAGTTTCCCCCTACCTTTCGTCCCCCGATGAGGTAACCGCCACGTAGGGGTGGTGGATGAAAACCCAAGTCCTGTTCCCTCACCCGTTCTCTGCCCCCAAGCCCCCCCTCCTCTCTGATTGGTCTGCTTTGGCAAATTCCCCCTCCTACTCCGACCGCCTGCAAAGAGCATGATCTCACCCTCTCCTTACACCTTGCACTGCAGTGCAACACATGCACACTCGCACGTCGCCAATCGACTCCCACGCCCTTTATCACAATTGTATGAATCGGCACTACAGCGGAGCTTTAAAAAGCTTAACGATCACGTATCTTGCATATAATTGACTAATCATCTCACTGACGAATCATCAGACCACTACACGCACATTTACTCCATGATGATCAGAATCTTATGCATAATCTTTAAAATGTTTACCATTTTGGCTGTTGTGTAAAACTATCTATTCATGTACATAGAAGGTGCTGCTAAATCTGGAAAAATGCTGCTGTTGCTGAGTGTTGGTCCTCACTGCACTGCTGTGTTCATTTTTCATTGCAGCGATCGTTCTGTATGTCTGTGCGTTACGTGGTGGTTTAAGTGACCCTGCACTAGTTCTGTGTTCAGGCAGCTCATTACTTGGTTAGCATTAAGCTAACTGCAACCTACAAGAGGCGCACATACACTCTATTGCATGCCTATGCCTACACATTTTCATAGCGGTTCAGAGTATGCTGGACCTGTAAGCACGGCATGCAGACAGGAGGATGGTAGTGTTTTTGTGCGAGTGTGCATATTCATATTGTAAACAAATGTTTTCAAATATGCAGTATTATTATATTTGTACTTACTGCATGTGTTAAACAGAATTTACAAACTACTCTCTTTAACAAATTGCTGTGTTAGGTCTGCATCATGTGAAAAAGCATGTTGTTAAAAGACCACTGTCAGCCTCTCCTTAAACAGACTCCAAACTGTGTCGTCGCTCTCCGCTCCATGCTTCATCTGTCATTCTTTCGTCCCTCACGTTTCCTCTCTCCGTCTGCTCCAGGCTAGTAACGGTAATGATCCCTGGTCGGTGTGGAACACGGACCCCTCGGGGGGCTCCAACAATAACTGGCCGTCCAATCCGGAGGGCACCCAGACCGGGAAGAGTCCCGCTGACCCCTGGAGCTCCGGATCACAGGGCCACCCTCAGGCCTACCAGGGCCCAGGTACGAACAGCGTTTCAGTTAGCAACCATGGTGGCCTGAAGTTAGAAACACAGTATGTGTCGGTACAGTAAAAATCACTGCCTAGGACCTTGTGCTGTTTATGAATTGTAAATTGAATTATTTTAGTATTACTTGCACTACTCACTACTGCTATTACTGATATTTAAATAAGGAACTAGAGACTACTCGTCACATTTGGCATTCTAGAGTGCTTCTGCTTTCTTTTCAAGTTATTATATTTGTCTCCTGTCAAATGTTTAACAGGATAATTTAACTTTATTTGAATCTGAAGATTTTTGAATTTATAGACATAATGATCTAGAAAAATTAAGTAGTGGTGCTAAAAACAGAGATTACACCTCTACTGTACATTGTGATTGCCTCCAGGCAAGGTCACACACTGTTCTAGCTCTTGCTGTCATGATCTTGCTAAACAGTTGAGCTTAGTGTTTGCAAATAGTTTAATTGTTGGGACGAAGATAGAATACACGGCGGCAGTGGATGACGTCTGCGAAGCTCCGTGGAGGTGTGCGCTTAATTCAGCAAACATCCTAATAATAAGCAAGCTGGTGCAACACTATCCTGCAACACAGTTCGTACCAGATGGGGTTTGCATCGTAGAGGAATGAAATAAATGATTTATACTCGGGACAGAGAAGTGTTTCCTTCCCTTCGACATAACCTGATACTAAGTGAAGTACCTTGAGAATACACAGCAACACCCCCCCCCAGGTAGTTTGATCCAGTGTTTATTATTTGCTAATACTATTTCATCCCGTTGTTTAAACTAACTCCCAGATGTGGTTGTGCTCAGTTGTCTCTGGCCAGTCCCTCCGCAGAGATGGGACAATCAAGTCATGACTTAGAAGGACACATTACTTTTTAATTCTCCAGTTGTTATTGTAAAAAGGCGCGGAGAAGAATTAACAGACTTTTCCTTTCTTTCCCTCTTGCCAAAGACATCTACCCGTATCCTTACCTTATCGATTACACAGGTATCCCATGCATTGCCTGGTGGAAGCGGTTTCCTACGTTTTGTGTGTGTGTGTGTGTGTGTGTGTGTGTGGACTGGCAATAAATAGCAAATAATTTTAGGAAATGATATACAGTCTTAAAAGCATGTGTGTGCAGCATTTAATTTGTATCTTAATATTAACACTATTAACTTACATGTGATGTGGAAAGATGCCAGATGTGACTGACCTCTGAAATTGAGTGTAACTGGATGGAATTGTACCTCTGATACATGCGGCGTATTTGTCAAAAACCACAATTTGACAACGTTGACATGTTTGACAGACTTTTGTTGTAGTTGGTAGTGTTTGATGATGAGCTTCATAATGAGTCTCACAGCATGTCTGTCCTACAGAAGAAGAAGAAGAGCAGTAACTAAAGAGAGAAAAGGAGGTTTAAAGTTTTAGGCTGGTTTGACGTACTTTGGAACAGACGGCTACAGCTCTGCTAAGCTAGGCTAGTCATCTTCTAGCAGGACTGTTTCGGTTTATGTTGGATGACAAACTGAATAACATGTTGGATCATTAAAATGTATTCTTCAGTGACAGGAAACCGGTGGTAAAGAGTTGTTACATATTGCTTTAGCTGTGGCTATCTGTTTAGCTAGCGCTGACGTGTTTTGTCGTTTTAAACCTAACATACTGCTTTTCTGTTTTTCTCACTGTTTTGTGGTCTTAACTAAATGTTGACCAAATATGCAGTGGTTGCATTTTGGCTTTTTCAGGCAGATGTAATCATTTTTAAACTGCACGACTGTTGAGAAAATCATGCTATGCAAATTATGCATCATGTTTTTAGGGCAAGAAATTTAGAATTGTTTCCCATTTAGAACCGGGTTCAAATTGTTGTCTACTTATTTTAGCTGTACTTGCAGATGCAAAGTGCAATAGTTGAACTCATTTGTTTTGAGTAAGCGCGGCAATGTTGTGTATATGCTAAGACATTTGATGGCAATGCATGTTATTCCAGAAATGCAATTTCTCTGATCACTAATAGGCGACTGCTGCATGCTCTCAAACTGGTGCAACTGCATCCGTTACCTCTGGAAAACAGAATTGATCCTTTTAATGTCCGTCCCTGCTGGTGGTTCATTGATTTAACGTAGCAGAAGCTTCTGTTTGTATCATTTAATCTTCCGCAGGATTTATAACTGTTCACTTCCTGCACATTTACACGTTTCACAGTAGGTTGTTTAACACAGAATTTGTGCTCTCTGTGCCAAAAACACGACCGTGTGTGCATGTATCTGCTCTCAGGAGCGGAGGATGATGAGTGGGACGATGAGTGGGACGACGTGAAGTCCACTGGAGGTTACGCCGAGTCAGAATCTGGAGAGAGCGGCGCGATGCAGAGGGGAGGAGCTTCAATGAAAATCTCCCTCAACAAGTAAGACTTACTAGAGCAGTAAGACACGGGGCTTTGGATTCTTGAGTTTGATAGAAAAACGAAGAAGCAGAACAGTGGACGGTTATAAAATCGTTGTCAATGAAATATAGTGATTTAAACTATTACAAATGCTTTGTAATAGGATTGTGCTTCAGTTAGGATTTGCCTTTAAGAGATTGGTTTATTGCTTTTAGGAATGTCCCCATCACTCCCAAACGTCTATGCACAACATCGTGGTTAATTTCCAAACTTCTCTTTGAGCAGGTTTCCTGGGTTCTCTAAGCCCGGTCCAGAGCTCTACCTCTTATGCAAGCAGCTCGCTAAGGGCAAAGAGAAGCTACCAATCTATGTAGGTTATATCTAAATATCCATACAAATGGTTTTCATGCCATAAAATGCAGAGTAGCAGGTTTCACAACCTTGTGTTTGTATGCTCAGTCAGGAGAAGTTGGTCCGGTGTGGTCTTACCCAGAAACTCAGCTTGACTGTGTGGTGGCTGATCCCAAGAAAGGCTCAAAGATGTACGGCCTCAAGAGCTACATCGAGTACCAAATCACACCCAACGTAAGTACCCAGTACCATCTAATCATTTGCTCATCTTATTCAGTAAAATAAATATGATTTAAAATAATAATAATAAATGATGATTTGCCTCCAGTTTTCATGACTTGCAGTGTCTATAATTCCATGTTCCTGGTTTGCAGACCACAAACCGACCAGTCAATCACAGATACAAGCACTTTGATTGGCTGTACGAGAGGCTTCTAGACAAATTTGGGTCAGCCATCCCCATCCCGTCTTTACCAGACAAGCAGGTGACGGGTAAGTGTGACCAAGACACAAAAAAGATGAACGTTGCTGAAGAAAGCATGGCTATAGAATCTTTTCTGTGCACCTCCCCCCTCCCCCCTTTATTCCAGGGCGATTTGAGGAAGAGTTTATTAAGATGCGTATGGAGCGGTTGCAGGGCTGGATGACCAGGATGTGCAGGCACCCCGTTGTTTCCTGCAGTGACGTATTCCAGATTTTCCTCACCTACAAGGATGAGAAGGTGGGCTGTTTCTCCATCACTTCTTCTCCCTTCGTTCTAAAGGGTTTTTATTTGTATTACTGCTTAATTAAAACGATGCATTGGTACAGGACTGGAAGACGGGGAAGAGAAAAGCAGAGAAGGACGAGACGGTGGGAGTGATGATCTTCTCCACGATAGAGGCTGAAGCTGCGGAGCTGGATCCTGTGGAAGTGTGAGTTTCATCCAACTTTACCCTCAACCACTGCAAAAGACTCAAAAAGGCACCGACGTTAACTGTGTGGCTGACTGTGTGCTGCTTATGGTGTAATCAATGTATGTTAAATGTGTCCCTCGTCCACAGGGAGCAGAAATGTGAGCAGTTCAGCAGGTTCACCAAAGCCATGGATGACGGGGTGAAGGAAATCCTCACAGTGGGCAACGAGCACTGGAAGAGATGTACAGGCCGTACGTACACAATGACGCACGAGATAAATGTTTTACCACACACAGGCCACACCTTCATTTTAAACCGCAATCACTGTTTATGTTGATGTGTGGTTCATTCTGTTGAGTATTTTGCCAACTTTAGACAAATCCATTCACACAATGCGGGTCTGTCTTCATGTTTCATTTCTTCCCTTCCACAGCGTTGCCAAAAGAGTACCAGAGAATCGGCAAAGCCTTCCAAAACCTCTCCTCTGTCTTCAACAGCAGTGGATATCAAGGTACAACACCGTCAAAACTTCCACACATGTATTTATCATATTATTTACGTGGAAGTCTGTTTTGAAACGAGTCTGCACACAGATACTGTTGAGAAACGCGGTGATGTCATATTTTAACCCCTTCTCCGCTCCAGGCGAGTCAACCCTGACTGATGCCATGACGGCAGCAGGCAAGACCTATGAGGAAATAGCTCAGATGGTGGCAGAGCAGGTAGGTACAATTACTTAGAAATCTTAAGTGTTTGCATCATGTGTTTTTCCATCACGTACATGGCAGTGGAGCAGAACTTAAAGGCCTCTGTTCCCTCAAAGGTCTTAGAGTTTATTTTAGACCCGTTTATCAACCACATTGTTTTAGTGTTCACTCTCTCACTAATCGTTGTATCTCTCAAACTCTGTGAACATTTCCTGTTTGCAGTCTGTGTTTACATCCTGGTTGTGGCGTTTTAATGACCACTTTAACCCAACGTCCTGTCCGTGATGTCTGTATCTGCACAGGAAGAAGCCACCGGCACACTTTTGTCTAGTATTTCCTAAAATGTTGTTTTCATCCTTCTATTTCTGGATTCTCTGACCGTTCTGTGTGGGCTGATTTTAGTTTGGTGTGTAATAAAAATCAAACTTGGGCCTTTTTTGATATCCATGCAGCTTCCAGAGGGAGGATTCATCTGGTAAGCGTTTGCTGCTCCGACATTTTTTGTCAGTGTGTAGGATTGTTGGCTTTAGCTTTAGCTCTGCCTGTGTCTGGACAGCAACTCTTATTTTTTTAGTGTGTGGCTCAGTTGGTGAACTGAATCAGTGAGCCCTTAAAGGAACAGTGTGTCGGCTTTAGGGGGGTTTATTGGCCGAAATGGAATATAATATTCATAACTATGTTTTCATTAATGACCTGAAACTAAGAATCATTGTCTTAGCCACTAGATCCTACACACTGCTCCTTTAAGGAGAATCGTCACTATTATACATCTCCCTTTATTTAGGCCTTAGCCTTTTTTTAGGCCATTGTTTTAAAATTAAACTTTGGGAAGTAACTCCTGTGAGATAGTGTTTCCCTGTGTTCTTTCTTATCACTTTCACATCTCTTGTTATTTCCTGTTTTTGATTTGTATGTGACATTTTTCTGTTGTTCCTCTCTGCCCATCTACCTCCGCTCCCTTTACAGCCCAAGAAGGACCTCCACTTCGTCATGGAGACCAACAATGAATATAAGGGTCTTCTCGGATGCTTCCCTGACACCATCGGAGTCCATAAGGTACACTGGGAATAGTGACACAAAGCTTTATTAGCCTCATTTATACAGCCTAAGCTTTCAGGCTTTGCTACACCACTAATTCCGATGTATGCATATCTGTTAAAAAAAAGTCATACCTACATTTTAATATATCGTTTGCCTTCTAGTTCTCTTACAGCTACTGATGCTACAGTGACTTCCTGTTTACATAGTTGATTGCTTCTGATTGGACAACGCTACGGATGTTTCCTAGCTGCCAATTTACACATTATTAAAGTTTGCATTAGCTAAGACCTTCCTTAAGTCCTGAAGAATAATGCAACTCAATTTAGTAAATTGATAGTTTAGACAGTAGCTAGTAGTTGCTTATTACTTAGTAAAGACATCACACACAAACCTAGTAAAGGATTTATGAGTTGCTGGTGCAACACAGTCTAGAAGAGACTTGAAACCTGTAAAAGCTTCATTTTGCTTATTTTTTAATCCCGTCACCTTATCTGGATGCTGTTGAGTTAAATGGTCTTTTGTCTTCATACTATTCTTTAATTCCTGCAGGCAGCCATAGAGAAGGTGAAGGAGGGAGACAAGCTTGTGGCTGCCAGTAAAATTACCGCTCAGGACAAAGTCACGATGGCTAAACGAGTCAGCACAATGTCGTACGCATTACAAGGTAACGCACTCACTCAGAAACATTCAAGCGGTGGAGTTTTATCGTATCAGGATGTCTGATATCTGGTTTCCCCCCTTGTGTCCCGCAGCTGAGATGAACCACTTCCACAGCAACCGTATCTATGACTACAACAGGGTCATGCAGTTGTACTTGGAAGAGCAAGTCAAGTTTTACGAGACGGTAAAGCACTTTTATCGTCTGCCCTTTTTGTTGTCTTCTCACCTGTGGAGCATGTTGCTCACCAGCCTCTGATGCAAGTTTTTTTTCTTCTTCTTCTTCAGATTGCTGCAAAGCTGAGACAAGCACACGGTCAGTTCACGACTATGTGAAAGCAACAACCTTCAGGCTCGCACTGCAAGAAAAGAAGATTGAAACCAGCTCAACATCCAAAATATTGTTCCTTGCACTGCGTTCCTTTCCCTCCCTTTAATTTAATTTTCACTTCTCTCTCTTTCTTTCGCTCTCACCTCATCTCTTCCTTTACTGTTTATGCTAACAGTCTCAGCATGTGCAGCGGCTGAAAAGGCTTTGACACTTTTTTTCGTTCAGCCAGCAATGATAGCCGACCACGACACGCGTGTCACACACACACCCTTTACTCCGTTCAAGGCCTGTGAGACAGGAAGTTGACACCGTTAATTGCACAATGCATTGAGATTCTCTAATGTGATGCAAGTTTCGTACAGCTATAGGCGCCAACACGCCTGTGCTCACATGATATCTACGTATTTTAAAGCAATACTCTGCAGTTTTTCCATTTTTCCATGTAGAAAATTGTTACGGAAAGGTTTTACACATGTTGTCTGCACGGTGATGTAGTGATGCACTTACACCAAAAAACAAACAATGCTGTCCTCTCCTCAGCAGGACAGCAGGGGGGATTTCTGAATGCATAATATTGTCTATTCCTCAGCCAATATTTGAATTATTAGTGCTGTTAACATTTGAGAGTCCTAACATATTCGGTAAAAGAAGCGGAGTATTCCTTTTATGAATCTGCCGAGTCTTGGAAGAGCTGTCGAAGACGGTGTGTGTCCTCTGTATGTCCACTGCTGCCAGTCCCCGAGCCCCCTTTTCATCCTGCACTTCCTCAAAGAGCTAACAGGAAGCTCCACCTCCTTCCAGTCTTTCCCCTTTGAGGAAAATAGAAATGGTTGACTTAGTTGCCCCCCCCAGGCTGCGTACCATTTCACTGCAGTTTACACATCAGGAGAGATGACAAAATGTGGGATGAATGATACTCAAGTTGGGGTTGATTATTTAATGCGTTGGACAGTAAAGCCAAAAGTCAGTGAATGTAATACCTCCCTTCCTCTCCCTCCCAGTCCTCCTGAAGAATATTTGTGCTTTTTTTTGTTGAGATTACGGTGTTTTATATGAAGATTTAACGGCAACGTTCGCTGTAAGAATATGTACTAAAACAAGAGCCATGGATTCGTCCTGTATGCAGTTTTGCTCTTCACCACCCAGTTTTCAATCAGTCTCTAATCTTGTTCACTCTGTTTTCTTGTCGCTTGATACATGAAAAATATATATATATATATATATATATATATATATATATATATATATATATATATATATTTCTATCTGCCCTATCAGGTGCTTCTTGTCATTGAGATACTATTTTATGTATAGGAGTATTTACAATACAGTGTAACTCAAAGAGGAGCAAAAAGTCAGTTTGATTTATTAATAAACAATGATTTGTACTCATTGGCAGTTTTGTTTCTTTGTGTGTGTTTCCTTAAGAAACCTTGTCTTGTTCTCCGCATGGTTCAGAGTGCAACACACTACGCATTCTCTGACTCACTCACAGTAAAGCCCTTATTCGCTTTTGCAGATTCATGCGTAGAGATGGATGGGAATGAGAATGAGTCGGCAGCCTGTGCGAACGGTCAAAGAGTGTGTTTGTGCAGTTTGTAGTGGAGGAAGTGAAAGAGCCCCTTTACCCCACATTCAGCTCTCGGCCCCCATCAGGTGCAGCTGGATGTGTAGGCCACATAAAGTATAGATCGTGTACACCAGACAGTACATGCATTCTTGGTATTTTTGAGTGTACGTGTTGTGTCTTTAGGGCTCCATTGGAGCTCGGAGCACTCGTTTTAGTTTAAAATGAGTTTTTTGTCACACTCAAGACTGTAAAACATTTGTAAATTTGTTTACGAGTTTAAAGTGAAAGGAGTACAAACCTGCAGCTCTTTTTTTGGTATCCTTTGGCCCACAGACTTAACATCTGCTCAACGCTTTCCTGCTATATTGACAGGATAAAGGTCTGTGGAAACCCACGTGTGAAGTAATTTGAATGTAAGTAACACTTACTAGATGCCGTAGATAAATGGTAGTATGTGTACTGTATGATAAGAGTTCTCTCTTATTTCCACCTATTTGAAATGTTCTTTAGAAAAGTGCTCTTTCAGAACTTTTTTTTTTTAATGAAATAGTCATTTGTGTCACATTTTGTATATATGTTTATTGTACAATCCATACAGTATACACAGTCGTCATATAGCACAGCTTCTCTGCCATACCCTGTACTGTGAGACAGTAGCACTTATCAAACCAAAGGGATATTAAATCTAATACAATACAGTGTTCTTATGTTCCGATGTTTTAGTCTTAAAACCCTTTTTATTTCAACAAAGAAAATACACAATGGTTTAAACTCATAGTTGGCTGCAAATTCAAAATGAATGAAATTAGATAATAGTCATCATAAATATGCAATAAGCACACACCATATGCAGATAATTCAATAAACTGTTTCATGTGATCTTCCTGCCACATGCCTCGTCTGGGAGCCCCTTACGTCAACACATCACAAAAATGTCCGGTTTTCTTTTTTTGGCTGGGTTGCTAATAGTGTGTCAAGTGTCGATGCATTAAACTACAAATACAAGTACAAAATAGAAGTAGAAAAAAATGGAAGAACTTGGTTCCTCCGTGGCTGAATGAAAAATGTTCATGTCCCAAACAGAACTCCACAGTATAAAGTTTGTGGTTTCAAAATAATGTGCAGCAGAAAATCCCCACTGTTTTGAAAATATCGAGCATACCAGTCATATTTGCACGTGTAGCGGTTCAAAAATAGCAGGAGCGAGGCCATTGTTGTTGACATAAGTGACATTCAGTTCCTTCTTGATGAGCTCTGTCAATAAAAACATCACTGGAGGTCATCGTGACTACGGTGTCCCCGAGAGATCCCCATGTGAGCCCAACAGCTGGGATTGTTCCTGTGTATTTACAGTTGTCATGACAACAGTGGGTCATGGTGACAAACGGGTTCGGAAAGAGCGTGGTCGGATCATCATGCTGACTTTGCGTAGGGAGTAATAGTCAGAGTCTCTCCAGGAGTACCAAACGATCCCATCAGGACCCAGCGGCCCCCGGCCTTTAGCAGTGTAATGGCCTCCCTGCAGGATGAGTGAACAGGAGTAGTAAACATTCTCCTGACTTTAGAAGCATAAAGTGAAGCCATGGCTGCCTGTGTACACTTACCCTGTAGTAGACACCGTTAAGGTTGGCGTAGAAGCACTGATTGTACCACCATCCGCCGTGGGAGATCTCAGCGCAGATGTTGCCACTGTCTGGGGTGCTGAAGCCCTGCTTGTCGTGGTACCAGCTGAAAGAGTCCTGCACTGTCCCGCTGAAGCCTGACACATGGAGACGGTACAGATGCTCCTCATCTTCCACACTACAAACACATAAACACATACAGAGAGGAACACCAGGTAATTATGCAATAGGTAGAGATTGTTGCGTATGTTTTTGCAACAACACACAAGTAAGTGCATTTGTCTATCAACTGTTTGTGTACTTGTGCATGCCACCAACCTGAAGCTCTGGTAGAGGGCATGTTTGTGCATGTTGCTCCAGTCCTCCAGGTCGATGCGGAGGCTGTAGTCTCCCTGGGTGCTCAGCTCATGTATGTGATTGTTGCCCAGCCAGAACTCCGAGTGCAGGTCCCCAAAACCGTCCCTGTAGTCCCTCCAGCTGCGGTCAAAGCTCAGCGAGCCGTCAGCACGTCGCTGGATCACAGTCCAGCCACCACCTGAGGCAAAAAGAAGGTCACTGGAAAGGAAAGCATATGCCATGTCTAATGAATTATTGTACTTGATGGCCAATGGGGGAAGACAGGGCCACAGCAACCCTGGAGTTGATACTCTCATGGACTGAAACTCAGCTGCAGCTTGACTTACCCTTCTGTGATTGTGTATGCTACTCACCATCTGTATCCATGTCACAATAGACCTCCACAGGCACGCCGGCCATTGATGGCACCACTGTGTAGAGACCTGATCTCCTCACTCCATTGTAGTAGATGGAAGCGCAGTCTATGGGACAGTTCCTCACATGCACTGAGGAAAGAACGCGAGACGGGGTAGAGAAGGAGTAAATCAACAAGGTGGGTTTGGCGCCCTCTGCTGGCAGATCATGCCTCTCAAGACTTTTTACTGTTAATGTTTCTGAGAGAGTGTACCTGAGTGCTGAGGTTCTTGAGCACTCATCAGCGGGTTGGGATGGAGGACGTTGATCAAGCACCCGGGGCTTCTTTTTACTTTATCCACCAAAAGAGTCAGATTATGGAGGTGGGTCTAAACAGAAACACAGTGAAACAGTAAAACTATCAAAAACCACCCAGTGCACATTTCATCTAAAAGTGAAATGGCATTATACTCATGATAGGTATACCTGGAGGTCTAGGATTAGGGTGCCCTGAAGGTGCAGCAGGGTGGTGGCTTCAGCGTAGTGATGCTCCAACTCATGAAAACGCTGCTCCAAAGAGGTATTTAAGTGGTTCCTCTCTTCACTCTGACACCATACATGTGAATAGTCAATCACACAAGCATGCTCACAAACAAGAACATAGGAAATATCTGTGATCTGTATATGAAACCCTGTATCATGGCCTGAAATATCTTAAATTTATTTTTCTAGTCTATCTCAATACACACATTGAACCTCAAACACGCATCGTCTCCCAGTGCTCTCGGGGCAAAAGGGGACGAGCCCTCTCTTATAAACCTTCTCTATTCCTAGCTTTGACATAGAGGATAACACTAACTCCCATTACCACCAGCCCTGGTGACATGTCTCCTGCTCTCTTCCCATGTACAACACATCCGACACATGAAAACCCTCTCCAACATCCACCTTTGGCTACTGACCCGTGCAGCTGAGAGTCTGTGTATGTATAGGCTCACTGCCTGAGACGCATGAGGCAGCACGTGCAAGAGTAGGAGGCTAATCCTGTTAGTGAGTAAGGTCAAGGACGTGTTGGGGGGGAAGCCAGCTTGATGACCAGGCACCAAGTTACAGTGCAGAACTGTACACAACTAATCTGTTTCCTGTACGGAAATATGGCACAGGCAAGCATTTTTAATGGTTCCAGCAAAATGCCCACCACGATCTTTAATCAGAGTATACAGAGAACAAAACCAGAAAGGTGAGTTCTGTCACCTGTCGAGTCTGTAAAAAGGAGCAGTCACATTGTTACAACATCCGGTGAGCTGCAGGTGGACTAAAGTGAGCTCTCAAAGCATTTGAAAGGATTGGTGCTGATAGTTGACCCAGGACTGCTAAGTCAATATGGGGATCTCACCTGCAGCTCGAGGACTTTGATGCGGTGCCGGTGGTTCCTCAGCTCCTCCTGCAGCTCAGAGATGGTCTCCTTCAGCGCCACGATCTGCTGCTTCCTCTCCTCGTTCTCGTGCAGCCAGTAGGAAACTTCGTCCGTGCAGCGAAACATATCCGGGCATTTCTGCTCGTGCAGCTGAGGTAGTGTGGCCACCAGCCGACACATCCCATCCTCCATCACCTGTTAAGATGACAGACGAACCCCTGACTTCCAGACCTGCAGTTGCTCAGCAGAGTGTCAATATATCTGTTAATAAATAATACAACTACAATTGCCCAGACTGTGTTTTTTCCCCCCCGAGCAGATTCAAACTGCAGCCTTAATACTAGTTTATCTAAACTACTCAAAAGTATAGAAAGCTGTGGAAATTAGCTCAACATATATCAACAGTTTCAACATACTATTTTAAATAACTCTCCATGGCCCAAAGAGTTAAATGTATCCAATATTTCACAAGTTTGTCCAAAATATGATTATAGTTTGGTGGAGCAGAACTTTGTTTTTTCTCCTTTCCAACTTAGTTATCTCAAAACCCCGCAGATTTCACTCGCTGCAACATGACCTATCAGTAAAAGGCTACTTGATTGATCAGTATTGACTATCTTATAATGTCACTTCTTTTCCCACCACTGCCTTCTTGCACGATTCATTATGTATTTCTAGCAGAGAACTACATTCCCGAAGTTGAGCTGCTTTCACACAGAGCTGACGCTTCTCCAGAGTAAACAGACGCTCGTTTAGAAAACATCCCTCTGCCTTGTGTGCAGGATGTCTTCAGTGAGTATACCTGGTTAGTGTACTCCCCACACTGGGATCCCCCGCCATTGCGCTGAGTGGTAGTGTTCAGGCCATCTGCTTTGGCCTCTGGGAGCAACACGATGAGGATACAGAGAGCAGAGCACACGCTCCAGCCGGGAGGGTTGGTTAAGGACAGTAGAGACATTGCTGCCGCCCGGTTAGTCTGTCCCTGCCTTGTCAGTGGAAGCGAGGACGAGACACAGGAGTGTGTGCTTCACCATGTGAGGCTCTGCTGGCTCTCCCTACAGGGAGAGAAACTGAGAAAATCAGTATTTGATGCTCCTATTAGAGTATTGTCTAATTCATTAAGCAGACCAAGACACATTTTGGCATACAAAGTCCTTTCTCTCTATCTCTTACTCACTTTTGTCTCAGTAACAGGACATAAATTTATAAGTGAGATTAATTAAGAGGAAGGTCATCCCCTCGGTCTATCACATTACTGTAGTAGGTCCTCAGGTAACTCAATAAACACACACACACACACACACACACAGCTTGCACACGTCACTTGCTCTTAAAGCCAAACTGAGATTTTGACCTAATTAAGCTGAATTACAAGGCAGGTAATAGTTCATGTATTCTGACTAAATCTTGCTCAATAAATCATACATGCACAGCTTATTCAAAAGTGTGGTATTGTCCTTTGCAGGAAATATATTTGTACTGTCCTCTTATAGCAAATGTAGTAAATGGTTGTGTACTCACCCTAGTTACAGACCGTCCTCTACCCCGTTCCCGACCCATTTCAGGCCGAGGGGTTCTCTCCATTTTTTTCTTCTCCTTCCCTGTATGTCCTGTTGTAACGATCTCTCTCGCTCTCACTGTGCCTCATGCTCTTCCTTTCTTCCTCGCTCTCCCTTCCTCTCTCTCCCTCTCAGTGTAGACATCTTAGTGCCATAATCCACCTCTAAGAGGATTCACAACGACCGAGGGATGGAGGGAGGCAGATAAATAGGGAGTTGATAATAACATTTTATTATCAACTCCCTATTTATCTGCCTCCCTCCATCCCTCGGTCGTTGGTAAAAGAGACATAAGAGAAAAATATGCTTTTTTTTCAATCTACAGCAATAACCATTTCTTTCATAATACAACTTGAGTACAAAACAACTTTACATCAAATATTGTGAATAACATGATTATGTCACAGAGAGGTCAAAGAAAAGGTTCAGAAAAAAAGAGAACGGGTAATAGCATAGCATTCAATTTGAATTGAATACACATAAATGACATGCATCAGCAAAACGCCAGCACACATCAGCACCTACAGTAAATAAGCATCACCTGCAGGCACAATAATCCTGCTCAAAGCCAGTCGTAATGAAGGCTGATGTGAGTGGGAGCATGAGGGGTGCTGATCCTATTACAGTAGCCAAGCCGCTTTTTACATCTTTATACTCTTGACTATGTCTGAGCATGCGTGGTCTCCTTGTTATAAGAAAAAACACAATGCTATTTAAAGCCTAATTATTTGTTTTTACGTCATTCTAATACAACAGCTTTTCAATAGACTGTTATAAAAACCCAAACCAGCTATCTGCACTGTGAATGCATATCAATTGACAACACTGCCTGAGGAAAGGCCCTCACACTCACAGAGGCCTTGAAGAGAAGAAAACGTCTGAGCAGCGCATCTTCCAGCTACTTTTAAAGGGCTCACACGTCACACAGAAGACAGGGCAGGGTTTTACCAGGCCAATGCATTGCAAATTGAAATTGATGAATACAAATACAAAACTGAATTCCACATATAAGCTCAGAGGAAAGTAAAACTTCCCTCATAAAAGGTTTTGCTGTTGTACCCGTTAGTGTCTACTGTATGCATCTGAGAGATACCGTGTTTGAGGCCACAGGGGGGCACCATGAAACAACATATCTCCTGCTCTCCTCGCCTACAGTGATAATGAGCTTGCCTGCCGAGGTGCACAAGAGAGACAATACACACAACAACAAAAGTTAACTGAATTACAAGACAACTAGTGCTGCTGCTGATTTATAACAGAAGAGCAGGAGGCTTAAATTAATGAATAGAGCAGAATGACTGAATGAATGAGGGGAAGTGGCATCTTGGTAACCTGGTTCACAAATCAAGGCTGACACATAGTGTGTGCACTCTACAGAAAATAAAATTTGTTTTATGAATATATTTTGAAGTGCTCATAATTGAAGCATTTGAAGGAAGGACATGAATGTAGTTGACTTCCTCAATTTGCTGAATGTTAGGTCAGTTATTTCTATAAGAAAAATACATTTGCAAAACTTCATGGTGCTAGATGGCCATTTTTGTATGGTGGTAATAATGATCCTTTTGAGCCCATTATACAGTCATTCATCATAAAGCTTTTCATAAATACACAGATTTAGCCTCTTTCATTGACATTGTGCTCGACCAACTGCTGTTGACATTAACGATTCAGAGCCAGTAAAGACTGACAGACTCAACAGCGGCTGCTGATGTTGTTTTAAAAGCCAAGGTGTAAAAAAATGTTAAACTGTGAGGCAGCTTTAAAACAAATTGCTGTCACGTTTGTTGAACATTCACTGTGATGTCAACTGGTACAGTCGCATATTGAATTTGCCTTCATTTCCCAAGATCCTCTTGGGTCAGTTGCTTTAAAGACTTACAGGAGGATACTCACTGATATTACTTAAACAGCAGCTGTCTAAAGCTTGATAACATTACCTTAGCTTAGCTAACGTAAGCTACTGGTCATACCAGACCAAGTAAGCTTGCAGCCTGAACACCCGTGAGTATATTGAATATATAAATTCAACTTCACAGTCATTAAAAGAAGATTGTGTCCAGTTTAGTCAGCCTGGTTCCAATCATGTTTTCCTTACAGCCTTTTGAAATGATTTCATGTCAGGACAATTAAATGAAATTGCAGTATTTGCTTTAAAAATAATAAATCTTTCTTCAGAAAAAGGCAGGTAAACATTTAATGATGTAACGTAGCTTGTTCGAGCTAAAAGCTGAGGCTGAGTGTTGTGACAGCTTGACAGGATGCAGGACAGGTGCTGATGGCTTAAGAAGGTGCTGTGGTGGGAAAATGGTGCTCCTGTCAAGCACAATGAATGGAGTTGACGAGCAAAAAGACATTTTTTCATCCAGCTCTCTGCCTCTGACTAACGATACAGGACATTTTGTTGACAGGATAACTGCCTGCATCGTATAGATACCGTTCTCGTGTAAGTAAGGCGGGAAATGTCCATATCGCTGGGTGAAAGAACTGTTACTAAAGCAGCTGTTGCTTTACACTGACCTGGTAGTGAGAGTCTGGAGGTTTAGAGAAATACGACTGCTTCCTTTAAAACTAAATTTAATTGATATACGTGTGTGTGTGTGTGTTTGTGAAGTTGAGAGAGAGAGAATTATAATACAAAGCCAGTGAACTGTCTAAACTCACACACGGCATGTTACTCCTTTGATCTGACACAGCTTGCTCTACATTTTCTGAGCTGTAACACAAATCCCTCTCACCATGACAAACAGCTAGAGCTCCAATATCTATCGTGGCTGGAATATTATCTCTGTGGAAACAGAGACACAAGCTTTTTCATGCTCGATAGAATTGCTGTAATTTCTCAGTCACATATAGTCACATGGGAGACATTAAAAAGATAATTAAATGAGCCGTAATGAATGCAGATGCTTCCATACAGGACTCAGGGCACTTGATGATTTGATTAGTGTAAAAAAGATGTGAATCACAATGATGCTATGGCCTCCGCAATCACCAGATCTCAATCCCTTTGAATTTTAGACCGACGTCATAGACTTGCTCATCTACAAACCAAATAAAGGAATTTCTTTGAGGAAGAATTGTGTTTCATCCACACAGTAGCATTCCATAAACTTGGATTAATCTCCACCAGGGAGCTGTTAAGTAAAGCTGTTATTGCCTTTTGTGGTGGCTCGACACCTTTATGTTTGGTTTCCCCTTCAATTTGTCACCCTATATCTCGATGACTGTTTTTAAAGAATATCTTTATTTGCAGCCGGTTTTAAACAGCCTCTTCCAATCGATGGTTTATGTTGCTTGAACAAAAGAATAATGTCCACAAGTCCAAAATTATAATTTCCAAATGATTTCCTGGAAAGAACATGTAATTTGGTACCGAGTAAAGTAAATAGCGCCAGAAAACAAATCTCACATTTTCTGCTGTGCACCAATTAAAAGACTTTCTAGGTTACACTGTTCATTCAACAGTTTATTGGAATCAATTAATTGGAAGTGTGCACTTTGACCATTGTCTGTATTGTTCCTATAATTGGTAAAACATTACAATGTTCTTTCCAGGAAACTTTCCATTTAGACAATTTCAGAGAAAACCTTCACACAATTTTGCATACAGTGTGTGTAAAATCAACAGCTAATCAAACTATGACCCCTGCACCTAAATCAATAATCGAATTATTAAAACCTGAGATAAGCCAGCATGTATCGACATATTTTTTAGCACAAGAGTGAACTCTCTCTTTTTAAACAATAAATGATCCATGCTTCTTCAGGGCAGTTACAGAAATAAACTGCTGGTTCACTTTACATCACGGAGTGAGCGTTCAGAGACACTAAAATAAACTAAGTGTCACAACATGACATTCTTGAAGGAAACATACTCAGAGAGAAAAGGTGTTTTTGCCTATTAGATGCTTGTGTGATTTAAAAGTACAGCAACATAAATACATGTAACAGATTCACCTGTAGCCTCTGATCAAATGCTTTATATCCACTTAATTATGAAGAAAACCAGATTAATGATTACAGATGGATTCATGGTTTCCAAGAGCCGGCACTGTGACATGCACACTTAATCCTTTCCAATGAAATTGTTTTGCTAGAGCTCCCCTTCAATACAGATCATAACTCATGTCATCTATTTGTGATGCGAGAGGCTCTGAGTATCCGTCTCAATCGATCAGTCAATATCTGTCAGTAGGCATCGCCTGTCTGCACCATTCTCTGGAGGGATATTTATCTGGAGCACATACCTTTCCACCGGGCAGTTACTGGTCATGATGCAACCATTTCCATCAGATTTCAGTATCCCTTATCCTGTGTACACACACACACACACACACACACACACACACACACACACACACACAAACATCCATAGATGTCAAGGTCTATCTTAAAGCTTTCCGGCTTTAGTAAATCTGAAGAGACACCAGACTTAATCCGTTCTATTCATCACTATACTCCCCTTGGTATCATGTATCAAGCGAACCTTATTACCTGAGTGCACCACAAGGACACTAAACCTAAACTAAAAGGCAGAAACAGCTATGAGGGGGCTCAGACAAACACGGACGGGTACTGTCTTTGATGATAACAACTTCGGATATCATCATCTGAAACTGAAGGGGGTCACATAGGTCAAACGGAGGAGTCAGTCTGTGCTGTACCTTACTCCTGGCAGCAGAGATACTAGAGGCATCCTTTTTCAACACTGTATCCTCCTCCAATGTCTCTCTGAATGATTTATAAGAAAAACCTGAGGCTTCACCTTCCTCTGCAGCAAGAACTAATTACAGTCCACTTCAGAAACATCACCGGCCCTCATTTACCATGTCAGTGGCGTGTTGGCAGGTTCATCAAGCACGCGGCTGCCTGTCTCACTGCCTTGCCTGAGAGAAGATTCATTGCAGCGTGGAGGGGTATGTTGACTAATGTTCTTTCATTTATACAGGCTGCTCTATGCATTGTACTCATAGCTAGCAAGAATCAGTTCAGCTATCTACAAAACTCTTTAAAATATCAAGATCAAAAAATGTTC